GAATTTTGTTCTATAATATCTCAGATGCTTTCGTCTGACAAAACTTAATTTCATGTTCAGGCCCTGAAAAATACGATATGTACATCATTCATGATTACATGATTTAAAGTCACAATCAGATCCTTGCGCATTTTGCCGGTTGCACGTCTCAGTCGTTTAGGGTTTTCAATTTTTCTTACGCACATATTATAATCACTTTGTCGGGCATTGTGGCGCATTTTGCGGGCTAAAATGAGGGATCTGGCGGGCTAAAAGCTGAAAGAGAGAAAAGTACGCGTCATTTTTTTGCATCGTTTGTGAAAGAAATCACGGCGCCATTTTCAAAGCCCAAATCAAGGCTGAAAACACACACAAAAAAAATGGTACATTTAATCTCAACGCTTAAAAATAATCTTTCTGGGCATATTTATACCCGCAAACATAAGGTCTATTGTTTTATTGTCATTTAACGTAAATCTACTTTATCGTTACAGGAGGAATCAAACGTACACCAAAAGGCCTTGTGTTCCGCGACGCTTGGGGTGCCAACCGTTTTGCCGCCAATTCAGCATTCCTGGCACTATTAGCCGCTGACCTTGGTCTCAACCCAACGGTTTACCGTCAGTTTGCAAGAAAGCAGATCCACTACATGCTGGGTGACAGCGGGCGCAGTTACGTGGTAGGCTTCGGAAAGAACTCCCCACAAAGGCCCCATCACCGATCCAGCAGCTGCCCATCAGCGCCTGCGCGGTGCGACTGGGGAAATTACCACAATGCTGGTCCCAATGCGCATGTGCTGTACGGAGCCTTGGTTGGTGGGCCCGATCGTTATGATAATTTCAAAGATGACCGAACGGAAGTGAAGTACTCGGAAGTGGCTACTGACTACAATGCTGGGTTCCAATCTGCTGTGGCCGGGCTGAGGCACCTACAGCTGGTATAAAAATAAACCGGAAAGTTATTCCCTATCTTTAACTTAGAACTTCAATTCTATGGTAGAGACAAAAACGATGTTGGTATAGATAAAATATTTAATAAATTGTACTAACAGAGCAAAAAATACAGACTGTTTTGATCCTGTCGTTTTGATCCCACATGGCCCTTGACTCTCTAAGCAGTGCCATAGCATCTTGGGCAAATGTTTATCTACAGTGCACGAACTCGTCGACTTGAATGAATGAATGAATGAATGAATGAATGAATGAATGAATGAATGAATGAATGAATGAATGAATGAATGAATGAATGAATGAATGAATGAATGAATGAATGAATGAATGA